CTCTCTCTCTCTCTCCCTCCCTCCTTCCCTCCCTCCCTCCCTCCCTCCCCCTCCCCTGTTCCTCTCCCTCTCTGTTGTGGATCAGGATGTAGCTCTCAGTTCCTTCTCCGGCACCATGTGTGCCTGCCACCATGCTCCCACCATGATGATAATGGACTGAGCTTCTGAAACTATAAGCCAGCCCCCAATTAAATGCTTTCTTTTATAAGAGTTGTCTTGGTCATAGTGTCTCTTCCCAGAAGTGGAAGTGACTAAGACAGGCCCCTCTCTGTCTCTTGGGACCCCTGGATGGGAGCAGCAGAGTGAGACCCTGGTTCTGCTCAGCCAGGCATAGCTTGTGGGGCCCATCAGCCCCTGGCCCATGCACACTGATGCTCCTGCTTTCCCTCTTGTCTCTCTTGAATGTTGCAACTCGCTCTGCCTTCCCATATAGCTGCCTGGGGTGCCCATTCCTCATCTCTGTCAGCTTCCCCCTGACCATCGTCAGTGTCACTCTGTGTGCCCCCTGTGTGGCATCACGGCCTTTGTAGAAGAGACCAGGGTCCAAATAAATCATGCGGGACCCCAGATCACGGAGAGAGGTTTTCAAAGTGAGGACCAATTGCATATTAGGGAAAGTGCTATTCCCTCACTCCCCACAAAACTCAACAAGCTTAAGGACAGGGCTTCCCTTATGTTGGAGATGAAGAAACAGGTTCAGAGTGGACCAAACACCAAAGAAGTAAAGAAACATCAGCTCTCATGGGTTAGTGATTGGACAATGACCTCTGTTACTTCACTGTGTGGCCTCTAGAGTGGAGACAGGTCCTCCACAAGAACATGACAGGGCCACTGCCATGGGATATGCAAAACCAAACATTTCTCTGGCTGTCTTATGACTGTGACCCCATTACCTGGGGCTGGGTTCCTAGGAGCCTCACATCTGGATAGGACACAACCATGACCTGCGGCACCCTGAAGGCTTCTGCTTCTATTTAGGGCCCCACCCACCAAACTCCACCCACTGTCCCCCTCATTACCTTCCAGGTGTTCCGTTGTGACCAAGCCTAGAGCTACCATGAAGGCGATTTTCTGAGAAGAAAAGGAATAGAGAGGCATTAACACAGCTGTCGACTCTCACCTGAGTCAGCCAAGAACTAGGCTGTGAACCACAGAGCTATACACTGAAGGTGCCCAGTCATGAAGCCACTGTGCAGACACTAAAAAAGGAGTTCCCAGAAAACTTGGAGAATTCAGATACCCAGAGTCCATCCAACATTAGTGTAGGGGGCTCCTAGGAGTAGCTAGGGGCTGTGATGGGGCTGGATAACACATTCCTCAAATATACTTTAAAAACTAACAGAACGGGGTTGGCAAGATGGCAGGTGTACTTGAGGAACGAGGAGGGTGACCTCAGTCTTCAGGAGGCTCTGGCAGAGGAAGAACAGACAAATGGGTGCCACTTCCTGAACCATTCTGACCTGGAGTGGGCTCTGCAGTATGTGTGTTCAGTACACAGATCCCGGAGTAAACGAGAAGGAACCAAAGGAGGACCGACAACAACATGGAAGATGGAGCCCCACAAAGTGCACACTATCCTGGCCCTGGGCTGAGTCCCTTATGCAAAACAGCAGTGTCTATACAAATCCTCTTGAATACTTTGAACTACTTCTATATAGCCTGTAATGCCTGCTGTGACAGAAACCGCATATAAATCATTGTTTCAGTGTGCTGTCTAGGGAATAAAGAAGCAGAAATGCCTGTGTGCGCTCAGTCCCGATGTAACAGTCATGGTGGAGGAGACGCAGGAAGTGAAGGAGACTGAGGACCAGTGAAACAGCGTTCCAGCAGGATGTGCCCACACTTCAGTGGGCTGTGTGGCATGCAGCAAATCCAAACACTGATTTTCGAACTTTCCAGAACCTTTTCCCCTTTCTGTCCCTCTCTTAATATTTTTTACTCTGTGGACAAGGACAGAGACTGAGCTAGGAGCTCCTGGAAGCCATAGGGGAGTGGGGCTCTGCTGGCCTTTCGGAATGTCTTGGATGTATAAGGACTTTGATGGGAAGATGAGTCAGGCTTATAGTTTCATGGATGTCAAGTAATAGGGGCTTCTCACACCTGTCACCTTTATGCAGAAAGTTTGAGACCCATGAGTGAGGAAGTCAGAGGCAACCCTGGCAGTACTATCCTGAGAAGCTTGGCTGCAGCCCACCCTGCCCAGACTCAGCTGGCCACAGTGGAGGTGACATCTCTGGTTCCCAGATGCAGGGCTGGGCAGCCTGGGCATGCCCTGGCTCTGCTGGAGACTACTTCCGACCTGTGCACACATGCAGGCTCCCTGCAGTTTTGGGCACACAGGCTGCTGCTGTGAGGACACATCTAACCGTGTAGTGCACCTCCTACAATGAGTACAGTCTGTGTGAACCCTCCATCCTGTGCCCACACCCCTCACAACTGCTACTGAAACACCCCTCCCAAAGTGTCCAAGTATTGTTCTGAGTTGCTGGCCACCCTTAGTCCCTGCTGCTATGTGTCTCCTGGGCTGTTTGAGCACTCCTCTGGCAGGCTCGTCAGGTCTGCTGTCCTCATCACCAGCTGTTTATGTTCCTTTACAAAAAACTGATGTCCATGCTTAGCTTTATGACACAGGTCTGCAATCCTGCTACCAAGGAGGCTGGGACAGGAATAAAGCAAGTTGAAGGCCTGCCTGGCCTACATAGAGTTCAAGTGCAGCCTTAGCAAATCTAGTGATACCCAGTTTCAAAAGAGGAAGCTAAAGAAGGCTGGGGCTGTATAACAGCTCCGGGATGGAGTGTAGCTCTGTCCCAAGGACCATACAAAACCAGAACCCATGTCCTTTAATGGCCCAGGGTTCCACTTGGGCCAGTGAGGTGCCTGGCCGCTGCTGCTCAGTGTCCTGATTGACACACCGTCTCTTGCAGCAGGCCTAAACTGTCCAACTCTCATACTTTAACAAGGGCTTCTACACCAGGGAGTGTTTTGACTGTTCTGTTTAAGCCATTATGAGTATTTACACTAATTACGCAGTTAGATATAATTATACTAATTGTAAAAATGCTCAATAATCGACTAAGATGCACTTTGAGAGAACAAGGAGATGTCACCCAGAGAAACTTTCTGAATGTGGAGAATGCTGAAAACCTCAAGACAGGAGAGACAGGTGCGGGAGAATACCACAGGCGACAAGCCGGCCAGGGCCTTACTGTGTAAATATGTGGCGCTCAGATACTGTCTCAGGCTGGACCCAATGGGACCTTGGGACTGGGTCATGGAGGAGATGTGGTCCACACAGCAGCTTCATGTTCCAGGCAACCCAGTGGTCGTATTCGTCCATCCACTCATTCATTTACTTATTTGGGGTGAGCAGGATGTGCTGGTCTCATGTAGCCCACGCTGGACTCCAACTCACTGTGTAGTCAAGGATGACCCTGAACAAGTCCTCCTGCCTCCACCCCCTGAGCTAGGATTAGAGGTGGGCACCACCACACTCAGTGTATGCAGTACTATGGATTTTTAGCAACCCCAGGGCTTTGTGCACGCTAAGCAAGCCCTCTACCAACTTCACTGCCTCTTCAGCCCCTGAAGGCCTTCTGCACATGTCCAAAGGCAATAATCAAATCACACTTTTGCCCAGATACTCCCTGGCTCCCACAACAAAGGATTAAAACCCCACCCTGGCTGCCTGCTTTTAAGTCTTCTGGAATCAGGTCTGCCATCTGTCTGTTTGGGGCTGACCCTCTACTACTGAGCCACCTGGTACCCGCAGCCCAGCTGACCTGTCTGGGAGTGCTCAGTCCTTTCCCACTTTGTGCTACTGCCCACACAGTACCCTCTGCCTGCCCTGCCAGTCCCTCTGCCTCTAGTCTCTGGCATTCTTTTGACTTATGTCCATCACACCCCTATTTATGCAAAGCTCCCTTCATCTTCCCAAGTAGCCTCCCTCTGTCCTTTGTTCTGTAGCTTACAGCTCACGGAAGTTTCTTAACCCCTATTTGGCAGCCTTTGTAGCCACATTAGTCTCTGCCCTCAGAAGGGAGCTCCCCAGGACAAAGCCCACATCTGCCCATCCTGAGCCCCCTGAATGTGTGGGGAGCAGACCCTCGTGTGAACGCTGAGGGAGGACAGGCTCAGAAAGCAAGTGATGTCTTTGGGACTACAGGTCATTGAATCATTAGACACTTGGAGCCTGGGGGCCTAAGACTGTGTGGGGTCGGCTGTGGGCAGGGCATCTGGTAGGGACCATGATGACTGGACTCTTGTAAGACTAATGAGGGTCACCACTATCTGAGTGAGAAGAGCCATATGGAAAAGACCACAGCAGAGCAGGGTTGTTTTCTGTGAGGCAGGGCTGAGAATACAAGCCCTAGCATGGGACAAATACCGGATGAACCTAGGTCCTTGGTCACCAGCTGCCCTGCTCTATGACTGCAGGTGACTGCAACTTAACTGTTAGAATGGCTCCATTTATCCATCTTCCTCTAGGGAGTGAGAGGAGGGGTGTCATGTGTAACTTCTAGAAAGTTCTTAGAGCATCTGAGTTCTTCAGTGCTATTGGTCTTGCTCTGTACCCCTAAAGCTTTCAGGATTGAACATAAATAGGAAGCAGAGGTGGGGGCCACATGCTGCCCAAGGTAGGGAAACATCGCTTTCTGGGCTTAAGAGGAACAAGGCTCACAGTCAAGGATCCCTGGAAGGTGGATAATGTCCCTGATCCAGTGGTTCAACTCAGAATCCTCCAGCAACCCAGGCCTTAACACTCCTGTCTGTAGACAAATCACTACACAGGACAAACATTGCTGACACTCAGCCAGGCAGCAGGCGCTAGAATCTGTGCTGACCACGGCTCTACCCTGACTGCACAGCCTGGAGAACAGAGGGGCAGACTCAGCTTACTGCTGCTCTGGCAGCTTCCACTGTGCTGGCCACAACCAGTCAAGATCTTCCTAATGAAGCTATCCCAACCCTGCAAAGAGCCTTGCCATAAAGCAAAGAAGGGGTTGGGCCCTCCAGCAGGCCACACTACCTCTGGATTCTCCTGGCTTGAGGGCTGGTCTTCCTTGGTGGCCTGAGCTCCCTGAGATGGCTCCTCCGTGGGTGGCTGGGGCTCTGCTGAACTCTGGGACTGTGTCTGCACTTGAGGTTGAATGATGATGACCTGGAAGACACAGGAAGGATGAGAGGGGCAGGGGTTCAGGAAGGGAGGGGCAGGAGTTCAGGAAGGGAGGGGCAAGGAGCAGCTAGGAGTCAGGTGGGTCCTGAAAGGTGTATCACAGAGGAACCAGGTGGCTGTCCTGTGTCCAGGGCCTTGCTTCCAAATACCCCCATTCCCCGCTTCTATGAGAGCATTTGTGTGAGAGATGGCCAGGGCTGCAAAGCAAGAAAGGCTGAGTGCAAATCTTACCACTCCTTGGCTATGTGGCCTCAGAAAGAGCCTCAGGGAACACACTGGCAATGCCAGCCTCCAGGGGGCGCTAACTCTTTACTCTCAGCTCAAATGCAGGCATACTGAGCTTGGGAGCATTCAGCTGCTTTCCCTGCCTGAGACATTAAGGACTAGGATGATTTGGGGTTGTCTGGGGAAATGGAAAGGCATCAGCTACAGGCAAGAAAGTGAGCAGAGGGAATCAAGGGAAAGATTCTTAAAGGGAAAACAAGGGCTGCCGTGTTTCCCCAAAGGCCTCAAACAGGGAAATCTTTATAGAGTGCTCTAGAGGACATGGGGAGATCATTTTAGTTTCAGCTTTAAAACTAAATTCCTCACAAGAAATCAAAGAGCCCCCCCCCATCCAGGTTACTGGGGCACAGAACAGTTCCTGATCACCTGACTGTACCAGCAGAGGTGGAACATCAGTACCAGACTCTCTTGCAGCTACCCATTCAGCCATACATTATTATATTAGTTCGTTATTCCTACATTAATAAATAGCAATTCTCCTAGCCATATTTGTTTCATCTCATGCCCATTCACCTGTCCCCTCATTTATACATGTACAGATTCGCTCGGTTGATCGCTCATTCATAGCAACACTCATTCATGCTAACATTCATTCCTTCCGATAGATCTGAATCCTCAGCCGTGTGCTCATGCTCCATTCACACACTCATCTGCACACACCTCCTGTCCATTCACACTAATTCATCCTGTTGGTTGTTGGTTCATACTTCCTCCACACACTCACCTGAATGTTTCCCCTTCATTCTTTGGCCATGTGACTATCCCACCACCCACCAGCCCGACTAAGTGTGAGCCTTCACATGCAACACAACCTCTTGGGGCTTCTGCTTGTCACTCACCTTTTTGTCAGCACTGATGAGGAGGGGCTGCACTTTGATGCTGTCGCTGGCCACGGGCACGGTGGTGCTGGGGGTGATGGTGGCAGCATTGCTGGGGGAGGTGGAGATGATGGCATAGGCCACCCCGGCACTGCTCAGGGGTGAGGTGATGGCGGTGGGCTCGGTGAGGGCCTGGGCCTGGCTGCTGGGTGTTGGCACATGGTTGACGGTGTTGTTGGCAGTGGGGAGGGCTGGACTGGGGTTCTTGATGCTGACCACAGTGGCCTTTTGGAATGTTGGGGGCTGCTTGGGTGGCCGGTCCCTGCCCGGGGTGACAGGGAGGCTGTCTGGAATCAGAGTCTTTGGCCTAACCTGGGAGGAAGGGACCAGTGTGTGGTCAGACAGATAGACACAAGCTCGTGATGAAGTCATGGCAGTGGGGGCAATCCTCAAGCAGATAGGCTGAGTCATACATTAGAGGGGAAGGGACCCTCCATGATCCTGCTCTAAGTCTCCCAGTAGCCATGACCTTGACCCCAAGGCTAAGGCTACTCTATCCGCCATCTTCCTTGCTTGGCTATGCACTGACTTATTGATTCCTACCCACCCATCCACCTCTGAGCTCAGATGAAGCTGCTCTAGGCTCTAGTCCCTTCTGGTACAAACTGTGAGGGACAGAGGAGATGGGAGACAAAGGGAGAGCCTAGGTGGAATGTATCTTCATCACACCAAGTCCACACACAAAGCCCAACGTGTCACAGGTGCTAGATCTCGGCCCTTGGGCAGGACCAGGTGAGCCACAGGGCTCCTGCAATCCCCTGGCAGACATAGTGGTAGCCTTTGGGCCTTGGGCACCAATCACTCCAAAGAGCCCACACACATGGAGGTGGGACACGGGCAGTCGCCACACTGGAGACTAAGGCTCCAGTAAGCTTGAGTGGCCAATCCTGAATCTTAGGGGATGTGGGTGGTCTTGGAGACACCACTTAATGTCTTCACCTGTGCACTGGGGGTGATGGAACCCACTTGTCAGGAGCTGCAGACTCCTGTCCTCATCTCAAGTGAAGTCACTCTACACCCAGACAGTCCAGGAGAAAAATGAGACTTAAGGAGGGAGGGACATGATTTGAATTCCACTGAAGCCATGGGGAAGGTGTCCTGGCCATTCCATGGAGGGAAACTGAGGCAAAGCCAGACGAGGATTCCTGGAGGAGAATGGTGGTAATGATATCGTTGTCATTAATGATATCATTGTCATTAGGGAAGAGGGATCTGAGCCAGGACTGTTGAAGCTCTGTGCTGGCCCTTTCACTTTCCCTTGCTCTGCGCTAGTGACATTGGGGAGACCCTGCTGGACCCCGACTTTTGGGAAAGTCACCAAGATTCAGTGTGTGTGGTCAGCAAGCATCATGGCTGTGAGACCCTTCACTGTCTGACACAAGCTGGCCCTCCATTCTGATGGCCTTCCTATCTTTCATACCAGTGGGCCTTGATCAAACCAAACCAGGCCCTCCCCATCTTGGGGGCCATGCCATAGCTGGGTAATGTGTCTGGCTGAGGTGAGTCTGCTGTTTCGTCCTTGTCCAGTATCAGGACCAGTCCCCAGACACTGGGCACAGTGCCACACATATGATGAGGAAATGAGGGAAGAATCCTTTCCCCTCCACCCCTTAGCTGCAGATGGCTAGTGCTGACTGGGGACAAGTTGTTCTCTGCCTCTGAGGAGGACCAGTTGGAGCAGATGATGTCCTAGCTTTGTTGGAGAGATGTCACTCTGCTGGCTCCTTCCTGGCCACCTTCACTGTAACACTGGCCAGATGACAATCCCTAACTCAGACCAAACATGGGGCAGGTGCTAGACTCTGAGGACAGTTTAGCCAGGCTCAAACACAGGCTGTCCACCCCAAGGAAAGATTGGGGAATCTTGGAACGTACGATGTTCCCCACACCATGTGGAGACCCTGGCCATCAGATCCCCATGGAACAGTCTTAGTCGGCTGCAGTCCATTCTCGGGGTCTGCTCCCACCTCTACAAGCTTCCTAGGCCATCAGGATGAGCCCAGGTATGTACTAGGCACCTCTTAGCCAGCAAATACAAGGCAGGGGCAGAGGATTTAGGGATGGGACTGTGAGTGCTGAATGAGAGACAAGAAACACAGGAGCTGCAAGCGAGAAGAGGCTGTGCAGGCAGCACAGAGGGTGTGGGGAGTGAACGTGCGACTGGGTGCCTGTCAGTTGCCTGTCTGTGCTTTTGTGGTGATGGGAGCAGTGTGGACCGCTGGGAGATGGAGAACAAAGGGAGGGCTAGCTAGGGAGCAAAAGCCCCAGAGGAAACAGCATGGACTTTGGCAGACCCTCTTGAGCTGCTCCCTTGCCTTGTGGAGCCCCAAAGCATTGTGGAGTGGTTGACTGCCAACAGACAAGGACAGCACTGTGGCCTGATATCTGAAGCCAGGACCCCCATCTCTGCCTACTCTCACATCCCCTCTGGCCTTCCCAGGACCCTTGTCTTGGTTTCCCAATCTGCACCTTCCTCCTGGGGCTCACCCTCAACTTTGGTCTACAATATCCCAACCCCAGAAGACCTTTGTGGACCTCAGCATGGGACAGGCCACCTCGGAGCGCCCACCAGCCCTTCATAACCCCTTGAGAGATCCTTGAGACTTGGACCCTGTTAGAGGCAAGGTGCTTTGGACTTCCAAAAAGGTGGGAGCTTGGGGAGTGCTTTACCTCATGCACAAGAGCCCAGAACACCTATTTCCCTTTATCCTTGAGACAGGGGTATCTGTTTGGCCTCATAGCTCCAAGACAGCCAGCCACTGTCTTCATCTCTGCAGCCAGTGGCCTCTATGCAAGTATGGTACACAGAGCAGGCACTCACCAAAGCTGAGCCATTGATAGTAAAGGCACTAGGCAATAATTCCTAGGGTCTAGGTATCTGCTACATACGGGTGCAGGTATAAGTTCTCCCTGTCATCACCAGGGCCAACAGACACAGTAGAGAGCCATGTGGCCCCCTAAGGGAGAAGCCTTCCATCCGAGATGGTGAGGGGCTGGGTGACTTATCCAGGGCAAGGAGTCCATTTGGGGATCTGGACTGGTACCCAGGGCCTACACCTTGCATCACTTACCAGAAAAGGTGTTAACTGTAGAGCTCCTCAGACCCTCTGACAGATTCATCATCAAAATATATACATCATGTATGACCCAGCATAGAAAAGCTTTGAGTATGCCTGGCAGTAGCTACCCTGGTTGATGCTGGCCATGGCTGATGCTGGCCGTACTTAATTCCTTTTCAGGAATTTCTGGTCATGGCCCACTCAAGGATTTCACAATTTCTCACTGTTTGAAAACCAGAGTCCTCACTATGAAAACTCTGAACCAAATGTTTCCCCTAATGAATGGACAGAGGGGATGGAGGAGGGGAGGTGCTGCCTAAAGGAGGGGCCCAGAGGCAGTGCTGAGGGGCTGGGGACAGACACAAGACAGACAGACGTTTACCTGAGGTAGCACTGCTGCTCCTTGCCCAGCCAACCTCTGCAGGGAGCTGACCTGAGGACCCGTGACAGGCACTGCAGTGGTGGTTCCCAAAGCCTGAAAGACAGAGAGTGTCGCCATCAGGGTCCAGCAGTCCGGGACCACAGGCTCAGAAATGGTAAACTGTACTCTTGCTCTCCATATGATACTGTTTGTTTGCTTTGTATTTTAAACCACAGAAGTAGTCTATCGTTGTTTAACAAACTGGAAACTAAAGGGCAAGAAAAAGGAAACTACTGTCCAGAAAATAGTCAACCTTACTGTATGCTGGCTTCCTTTTTAAAGTGAAGTTTCTATACAGTGAGACAAAAAGCACACATGAGTATGTACGTGTGCGTGTGTCAGATATATTTCTGACTGGCCTTGCATTTTCCATGTGGTGATGACTTTGACTTGGGATCTTCCTGCCTCCATCTCCCAAGTGCTGGGACTGTCAGGCATAGTGGTGCACGCCTTTACTCTCAGCACTAGGGAGTTCCAGGACAGTCAGAGCTACACAGAGAGACCCTGACTAAAACACCCTGGTGTACTGTTTCCATGGAGACCCTTCATCTCTGGGTGTTTCTTTGGCTGCCTCTGTCCTGTAAGCACCAATGCCTGTGGCCCTAAGCCTTCATTACTGCTTCAGATTCAGCCCCCTTTCCTGACTGTGACAGAGGCAGCCTGTCACCTTAGTGACTTACACTCAGGGAGGGGAAGGGATGGGAAGCCAAGAGAGCCATGAATGGCCAAGATTCGACAGAGACCAAGAGCTTCCAGAGGGGCAACGGCAGGGACAGCTTTGCTTCCACTCTGCTTGATTCTAAGTTACCAAGATAAAGAAAGCTGGGAGGGGAGGGGAAGGGAGGGGA